TGCCCGTTTGTGCGCTAATTGCTTGATGACCGGCGTGCGGGTCGTGACCTGCTTAACTTTCATTGTCCGTGCCGGGCTGGGGCGTGATGATTGTTCGCCCATTCGGCGCTGGCGTTAGACGACAAACTCGCCTGTGCGCTCTCCAAGGGACAAAATGGCTTTGGCCAAGCTGACCCTCAGCCCCGATTATTGGTTGGGCAGGTCATTACACTTGTTTATAGACTACGGGCCCGTAAACTATGATTCGAGAAACTCGACATTGTCATCTCCCGCGAGAATGTCGGCCTCATCAAATTCGAATGTGTGGCCGGCTCTCGCCGAATGAGTCGAGGCTTGAAAATCGACGTCGTTTCGCTGCACTGTTGCCGCGCGTTCCGCAATTAACTTCTGGAAAACTCTTCCAGTTTCTCTGACGTAGTTGCTTTGTCGGCAACTACACGACTCCAGATGCTTTCTTGCTATGGCAGTGGGTCTTTTGGTTTTAGCATCTGGTTGCCTCCGGCCTGTATGCGGCGCCAACTCTGAGTGGTGCGAGAAGGCGAAGTTTGATGTCTATTTCCTCATTCTGTACTCGGGTGGGAAGGGGTCCACAGAGGTCGTGAGCTGGTCTACCTCATTAAGTGTTAGTCTAAATGTTGAACTGTGTTTTCGATTATAAATGCTGGATTACGTGGTGTGGTAGTAATGGTTATCGTACAGCACAATCCCAAGATATGCTAGTCCAATCAGGACACCGGCTTTTGAATGTACCTCTATCTGGCAGTAAAAAAAGACTACATAAGCGGAGTACATTGTCCAGCGGTTTTAGATATCCTTATAAATTCACGTAGGTTTTATTGACAGCATGTCTAAAAATATTTTTTTGCATTATTTTGGTGGCAAGTCACGTCTTTCTTGGTTTAGACAAATTTGTAATTAGGATATTTTTACAACTATCGTATATCCATTTATAGAGAATCCTATTTGTTCGTTTACAAATGCTGTCTATGAAGTATACGAAATGGTCTGCGTATCCCATGCAAAATATTAGGAGCCCAACAGGGCTTGCTTAATAGCGTAGAGGAGTGCATGATTTTAGTTGTATGAAAAATATTCGGCATGCATTTTGTAAACTGTTATTACTCGCGCCTGGTACTTGTAGTTAACACGAACCGTGGGCTTGCTCGACTGTTCTTCTCCAAGCCAGCACGGGAGAGAAAGAGAAGGTAATCAGCCACGGGCAGCATGTATTCACAAGCAGCAAGTCATTCTCACCGAAAGGCTGCGTATATTTATTGATCCACTTAATTTCTAAGTGACTGAGAAATGGACCAATCAGATCTGACGAAAGATCAATAGTCACGGTCCAGGTGTGCGCTCTCATGGCAGCAGCGTGGCAGTTAGCGAAGGCGCCTTTCTGGGCAATGACTCATCACTGGAATGGAGACATTCCCAACACATTCATTAGGCTACGTAGTATTATGGTAGGCGATATATGCTAAAAATGGCAAACAAACTGATAACAACGACCTGGCCTCAATCTGAATATTTATTCAGCCAGTGGCCGCATTGGGAGCACACTAATGGCACCAAGGAGACTATTGACGAAGCGAATATAGCGATCA